CTTCGCAGGGGCTTTCTGAGTGGTTGTGAATACAAGTGCTGTGGCTTTTCAGTTTCACAACTTTTTCATTTTTTGCGTTTTTTCTCAAATACAGATGTTTGCATGTTTTGAATTATGATATGAGCACTCTGTCACTAATACTGATTCGATTTTCTTGATCCTTTCTTTCTTTGAATGCTAGGGTATTGAAGTGTGCAAGAAAACCTTGTTAAAATGTTTAAAAACTTTTTATATTTCCAGAAAAGTTTTAAATTTTCCAGAAATCACCAGTGAAAATTCAGAGCTAAGAGAACTTTGGGTAAAATTTAGACACTAGCATAAAAATGCATATTTGCTTTATTTGAATATTCAGAAATATACAGGTTCAATTATAGCTTTTTTGATGCATTACTTTTTATGCAAGTCGCATCACAAATTCATAAACTAAGAATAGTTGTAACTTTTTTTTGATTGATATAAAGAAAATTTAATTACATATTTTCAATCAGTGTACAAAGCCGAATATTCCCTGGAAATTGTGTCTTCAGGCCTAATACTAATTTATTTCACAATCGGGTCTCATGTCCCCCCTTGAAGTTGTGGGGGTGCTGACAACTCCTCTGTAAAGTTGTCTGCGCCGTGTGGCGCACGTGTCTCGCCCCAAGGCTTTATTTCGGTGGTGACCACCGCCTGGCGATAGATGGCGTTGTGTTCGCTTTGAGTGGTAGCACCAGCGGTGGCCCCTGGCCGAAGGCAGGCCTTGGTGGTGGGCGAGAGTTGAGCGAGCCTCTTCTGCGCGTGGCGACCCCGGTGCTCGGCACCACGGGCTTCGCGCCGGGGTCCCACGTGGAAAGTCAGGCGTTGGCGCCGCCGCCTTGGGTATGTGTTAGTGTGTTGGGTGTGTTAGTGCGTGTTTATCATGTTATTGTGTATTTAGTGTGTCACTGCGTTATGTTGTTTGTATGGTAGCGTGTTAATTGAAATTGGTGTATCATTCGGCGGACGATATCATCGTCTAAATTAGCTAATAAATGTATGTATGTTGTGCGCTTTGTAGCAACCGCGTCTGCTGTGTCCGTTCACTCCAAGAGCGTGGCGTGGCGAGGCGCTCGTTTGCCTCGCCGAGACCCTACACTGGCGCTCGTTCGCCATATCGAGACCCCACACTGGCTGCCCAACGTGGAGCTCTTGGAGTATCGGACGACAGTTTTTGCGGTTCAATACAGGGATTTTGTTAGAGCCGGAGTAGAGTAGGCCTAGGGGGCACTTCTTTGCTAGCGTCGGTGGTGTGCTTTGTTGAGAAGCGAGGAGATTGGTTTTGTAACGTGTTTGAATTTGTCGGCAGGTTGACTTTCTATTTATTTTTTCGCTCGCAAGTGTTGTTATTTTTTTGTTATTGTTAGTTTTAAAAAACGTTGTTGAATCAAGAGCCATGCGGTCCCCATCCTGGAGTGAGCAAGGCCTAGAGCACGTGGTTTGTAGGCCAGGCCCGAAGCGAGTGAGTACGGAAGCCTCATGGGTTGTCCCGATTTTCTGTAAATAGCTTCTTCTATATCTTTGGGCTCAGAGAGCCGGGCATCGTTGCTGTTTGGTATTGCGGCTCGGCGCCGAGGCGTCGTGGCACCGCCCGGGGCGGTGGACGCCGATCGCTCGGTAAGCTGCTGTGTGCGGCGAGCGATAGGGCCAGCTCACAGAGTGGAGGTCTCCTCGCGGCTGTCTCTTCTGCGCCTAGACTGGGTGGATGCCGGTTGTTGCCGAGCGACTCATTAGGCCTAAGGCTCTGCGCAGCCGCCTGTCGCACGTGGCACAACTAGGTGGATCGTGGCGTTGAGATGTTGCGCTCTGCTTCCCTCACTTTTTTTTTATCTTGCGATGCAAGGGTTAGGAAAAGTGATTTTTGTTTTATTTTGATGGGCGTCTCAGCCGCAACCGATGTATTAGCTAGCAGTACTACGTGGACGAAAAGCTCGAAGCTCCCTTCCCGAGGACCTGCTCGATTGTTCTCTTTCAAGTTCTTTTGTTGTTGTTATTGATGTATTCTGCGGGAGGGATGTCATCCACGGCCGGCTGTCCTGCACATCGTCAGCGTCGCTGGCCAGGAATGCGGTCGTGAGGTCGGGCGATGGAGATGCCTGGGACCTGCGCAACTGCCTGCAGTCCGGCGCCCTCGCGAGTGCTGGTCGCAACTGGAAGACGTGTCGGCGCTAGCGACGGATCGTCGCGCCGACGGCAACGTTGCTGTTGCGGGGCCGGAACTGAGGTGAAGTCTAGCCGGACAGTGCAGCAGTGTCGACCAGCGGCAGGTGTCGTGGTGCAAGGACATTATGGTCATGCGATATCATTTTTTTTGTTAAAGCTTGTGTAGCTAATTTTTGATTTCGGGATATGGTTTGATTTAAGGTTGGGGGAATGTGGGGGTGCTGAGACCCCCCTGTAAAGGTGTCTGCGTCGCGTGACGCACGTGTCTCGCCCCAAGGCTTTATTTCGGTGGTGACCACCGCCGAGTGATAGATGGCGTTGTGTTCGCTTTGAGTACCACTGTTGGTAGAGTGGTAGCGCCGCGGTGGCCCCTGGCGGAAGGCAGGCCTTGGTGGTGGGCGAGAGTTGAGCGAGCCTCTTCTGCGCGTGGCGGCTGCCGCAAACGAATGTCTGTAGCGTGGATCCCAGGTGCTCGGCACCGCGGGCTTCGCGCCGGGGTCCCACGTGGAAAGTCAGGCGCTGGCGACGCCGCCTTGGGTATGTGTTAGTGTGTTGGGTGTGTTAGTGTGTGTTTATCATGTTATTGTGTGTTTAGTGTGTCACTGCGTTATGTTGTTTTTATGGTAGCAGGTTAATTAAAATTGGTGTATCATTAGGCGGACGATATCGTCGTCTAAATTAGTTAATAAATGTATGTATGTTGTGTGCTTTGTACCGACCGCGTCTGCTGCGTCCGTTCACTCCAAGAGCGTGGCGTGGCGAGGTGCTCGTTCGCCTCGCCGAGACCCCACACTGGCGCTCGTTCGCCTCGCTGAGACCCCAGCGAGGCGAACATAACTTGCAAGTGCTCATAACTTGCAAGTTCTCATAACTTGCAAGTGCTCGTTGCAAGTTATGATTAAAAAACAAAAAGTATTGCAAATCACCAATAATGAAAACTGTGCACATTCACTGACACTCTATGAGTCGCGAACAAAGCGCTGAGAAGCCCATTTAAACTTGTTAGAACACCACGGGTTCGCAAATTGTGAGAGTTCCATATTGTGCACTATGGATGAATATTTAGTGCTGCAATCAAGTGAGTCTCTCGCTACCTGAAGACATTGATGTGCGTAAAACGTGGATAGGTGAGTGCTTGCAGCAGTGTCGACACGAAAATCGCAACGACCTGAGGGACATGCTACGCACAACAAAGAACCTGACAGTCAAAATCCCGCCATGTGTGCCACTCGGTTAGGATGGCTAACTCGGTGGTTTTCGCGAAGTGAAAGTGGCGCCAGAATACACTGCCTAGCTAACAGAAAAAGCACGCTTGATGCACGGCAGCACATTTTTGTTGGATCACGCATATTTAAAACAGTCCACAAAAAATTCTGGCGACACTGTGGGAGCCTTCGTCACGAGAAAGGTGTCAAGTAAAGAAGACGCTAGGGCGCGTGTTCTTTTCTTAATATTCTTGGCGCTGCTCGAAAAATTATGTAGTCAACTCAGCGTTTTTTTTTTTTTTTTTCTCTCGTGGAAGCTGAGGTTGGCATCAAAATTCTTGCTCGTTTCGGAGCAGTTTGGCACAGTTTATGAAATTTTTATGCTTTTGGAGCAGCTTGGCACAAAAAATAGAAACGTATAAAAAATGTTCAATATGCACAACTGTCTCACCCCTGGGCTCTTAAGAACCGCCGTTTTCACGAATTCGCGACGAAGTCAGGATTCGGAATTGTCACATGGCACCAAAAGTTTTAAGATTAAACAGAACTGGTGCTGACCGCCACTTCAAATTATTCACCTATACTTATATTACAAAATACTATCTGCGGAAATAGTTTGAATTAGGTGGGATTTTGAAACAACAGAATTTGAATTATTGAGATTTTAATGCACAAGTTTTATAGCAGCAAAAAATTTATTTTGAAAATGCAGCCCCCTTCAGCATATATTTGGCAGTGCGTACAGTAATTACCAACTTTTCACGTCATAAACCCTCCAGCCCCTCCACAAAGTTCAATGAAGAAATAATTTGTCTTTCATTTGGTTTTTGTGCTATCACCTCGAAATTTTTACGGAAGCACTGTGAGGTCATTCTTAGTGTCTCTGCCAATTATTATCAAGATCCAACCAGACACAAAAAAAGTTGGTTTCCAAAGGCACTTCTCCCTTTAAGGTTACTTGCATGCAAAGACACCAGGCTTGTGCAAATATTCAAATTTTTCGTATATTAGAGTGAATACAGTATTTGAAATGGCTTCGAACCAAATTTCAGTAATTGGAAATTTGAAATAATTTGACATCAACCAATACATGCATATAAATGTGCATGTGGCACCTTGTAAAAATGGTTTCACTGCAATAGGGCAGGGCTAAACTGTAAAAACACCTATACAAAGAAAATGTGCACTGGCACAAAGCCCTACTTCAAGGTTAAAGAATAATATTGCCCTGACATTGATTCATTTTTTCAATAAAAAAGCTTGTTATACCAACTTATGTATTTAACTTCAGCAAATTTTAAAGGATAGCATATTTTACAGACTATCACTTACATTCCACGAAAGGTCAAATCTTGCAACTATTCTAAATGTTTTTGCTTTCTTTTATGCAAAAAAAAAAACAAAAGGCATTTGCAGAGGTCTTATTCCATTTTTTTTTAATATTGTGCAGGTTCGTAAAGTCATGAGAAATATGCCATTCGTTTTTAAATATGCGATATATAGGCTATTTGAATTCGATTCAAAATTATTGTACCAAAGTCTCTATTTGCTTCGAACTTGAAATTCTCTATTCGCACAAGCGTAATACAGAGTGAGCCATCCTGGCAAATGTCCCACCTGGAACGGACTGCTAGCCTCCACCATGAGTTGCTGCTCATGACGCAGTACAAGCGTGACGAGCGGCTTCACAAATGCTGGACCTGCTGCAGGAATTTGATGAAAGATGGCAATGATGGCAGCACACTGGCGAACTTCGGTGGCATTGGGACCGCGGTGGGGGGTGCGCACGGCCACCTCTAGCCAGCAGCCCAGATGCTGCAGTAGCTGATCACAGAGCTTCTCATTGAAAGTATGTGGGAACAGCTGGGTGAGGTAGCTCAGCCGCTGGATCACGCTCAGCGACAGCTGCCTGAAGTCTCCCAGCAACATGAGCAGTGACCGGATGGCCTTGTGCACCTAAGCAAACACGGGCCCACTCATTAGGAGTGCGTTGCAGCACGAGAATACAGTTTGTTTCTTTGTGAAAATAACTACACACACAGGCCTACATAAAGGCCTTCACTGAAGCCATCAAAGTCACTGCCTATTCATGCGTGACACATGGGAGGTTTCAAATGTCAGATGCAAAAACATGCTCAGAATTGATCACATGCAATACTTAAGCACTTGGGAGTATTTATGAGAAGCATTTTAGAAAAGCAATGTCACAAAATAAGTCTACATCACTCAAAATGGATCGCATCTGATCCTCACTATGACCAAGTCATGACAGAAATGCTTTTTCTCAATTTATCCCTTTTATTTGAAATTTCCTTCAGTTGTAACCCAAACACGTGCATTTTTAAGCCGCATTACTTGAAACATACTAAGAGCTCATGCTGCTTAGTGCAACACAGCAAGGCATGGTATAGACAGGGGCCGTGCAGAAGAGGTGCCATCCTTCCTGTGAAATACCGTAATTACACGAATCTAACGCGTACCTTTTTTCCGGTTAAGCGAGTTCATAAATTGCATGCGTGTTACAATCGAGTACGAAAAAAAATAAATGAATACGGTCATTCTATTGTCAACGGCATTCCAAAATGGCCGCCCCCTACGTGCGTCGGCATGGCGCGTCAGCCATTTCTGTCTATGGGTTTCGCATCTGCAGCACTTCGTACATGTGCTGAGGAGTTCGTCATCTTCGTGTGCATTAGCATCGACGGCATGGAAGGGCCGACTCCGAAAACTTGACTAGTGCACCACGATGTCGCTTTTAAAAGAAAAGTCATCACGTGTGCCGAAACGGACGTAAATCGGGCTCCATCGCGGTCGTTCGAAGTTGCCGAAAAGTACGTGCGGGACTGGCGGAAACAAAAGCAGAATATTGTCGACAGCAAAGATTCACGCAAAGGCTTCAGTGGACCACAGCAGGGTCGGTTTCCGCAAATTGAAGAGCTGCTCGGTGAGTATGTGATTGAGCAGTGAGCGGCACAGCGGCCCGTGACCACAGAACTGCTTCAAGTGCAGGCTATGCAGTTAGCCTTAGAAAAAGGGCTAATGCGGAGCCTGTTTAAGGCGAGCAGGTGCTGGCTAACTAACTTTATGAAGAGGAAAGGCTTTTCCCTCCGAAGGCGAACGGGCATAAGTCAAAAGTTGCCGAAGGAGTACGAAGAAAAGCTTCAGTTTTCAGAGGTTCGTCCTAAACTTGCGGCACAACAACGGCTCCCTGCTTGGGCAAATCAAGAATGCCGATCAAAGGCCTCTTTACTTCGACATGCCTGGCACCACAACCGTCGAGAAGAAGGGGGCGAAGCAAGTTCGCGTGCTGACATCGGGCCACAGTAAAACTAGAGTGACGGCAATGCTCCGTTGCACGTCAGATAGGCACAAGCTTCCCCCGTACATCATATTTAAATGAAACACGCTCTCGAAAAGAGTCTTTTTCCCGAGTGGTGTGATTGTGTGGGCCAACGAGAAAAATGGGTGCGCGTTGCAATCGATGTCTTACTTTTTTTTTCGTCGTGGAAACCCGGTGCGCGTTTAAATCGAGGGCGCGGTAGAATCGAGTAAATACGGTAGTAGATGCGATGGAAGGGCTTCCTTTGAGTGCCAGGAACTCCTCCTTGCTGTGCCCATACTAAAGCAGGTGAGCGTGGCGGAAAAAATCAGCGCTAGTTCACTCAAACACAGGTGCTATGCAGCACTTTACATGACACTCTGTAGTCAATGACTATGTAATTGAGTCCCGATTTGGAGGGTTCAGCCCCTCCAGCGCACACACGTAGATCTATGGTGCACTGCTGCAGGTCGTGCCTTTTACTATATTCCCCACACTCGCTTTTGCGACCTGCATTGCCATCTATCTGCTCTGTTTATGCTGCTTGTTTCCACATGGAGAGCAGTGAGCCCGACAATGGTGACGATATTGGCAGCAATCACAATGCACAGAATCACAGGCCAAGAAGTGGAAGGGCCGTGGTAACCCATGTTACGGAAGTGGGATTACTTGGCATTAGTTGGAACTTAGTTGCCCAACGGAGACAGAGACTTTCTAAATAAATCTTTAATTTTGAGATGCAGACGAGGGTGACTGACTGCCTTCTCCCTTTGTCCTCATCTGTGTACACTGCAACATTTCCTCGATGTCATCCTTGCGGACAGTAAGCGCTTTCACACTTTAGACAGTGACTTGGTTTCTGGAACATCGTCAGCATAAGCAATTGCTAACAATTCACAAACTAGTGACAGACAATTCAAATGTGCATGCACCAAATTTCTTTTGCATGTCGGTGATACACTTAAGGGGGGAGGCTACCATCGGATACCAACTTTTTTGTTTATTGAGATATCTTAATGAAATTTTCAGGATAGACTTATAGCAAAAGCATTAGAAGAACTACAAAATTTCATCAAGTTATGTTCACTGGTTTTCAAGTTACAGCAGAATATCAGGGTAGTGCACATGGTTCTCTTATTCCAGGCCTGAAGAACTTTCAAAAGGTGCTGTAACTGTGAAATTAACTATGATGATTCCCAGATTGATACTCCAGGGGGTAACAGAGCCCTTTTTTTGAATTTCCTTGCTGAAAAGTTTTAGCAGACCATCAAACTTTGTGTTCGTGATTAGGATATTATCAATCAAATTTTGATTAAGTATAATAAATAACACACACAACATATTGAAAAAAAATGGGCTTATCACCCCCTCAGAAATATATTCATGTACATAATAAAAAAAGACTTATGGAAATCCAATGAGTGGTTCCGAGATATGGCTGGAATAAGCAGCCTCACTAGCCAAAAAAAGTCATTTTGAGAAAACGACGTTTGAAAGTTTTGAGCACATAGGCAGTTCTAAAACGAACCTGCAGCGTAACTGGAGGTGTCCTTTTGGCACTCTCTTTCTTTGCCGCCTTTCCATCTTCTCTAGGGATCGCTTCTTAGCCTTTTTCAAGCGCAGAGAATCTTTCTCGGCTGCCCGTTGAATGGCCAGGTGGCCAGGTGTTAGCCCCACTGATGAAGCTAGCTCTTGGGTGGCCCTGTAGCAGCCAGCATTGTATCTTAGCACTGCATCATGCAGTGCTGTCTCCACAGCAATCAGTGACGCATGCTGCTCTTTGGGCATGAGGGACCACAGCACAGAGTGAAAGGACTTTGATGCATTCTGCGTCTTTGCTCCCAGGCAGCGTCGCAGAAGAGAAGCCTGTGAGAGCCTCTCATAAATGGGTAGAAGTGCATCTGCAACACAGCGTGGCAGCTTGTACGAATGCTTCGGAGGTGGAACACCGGTAATCTTGCTGGCATTGTGACGACACCAGGAGTCTGCACCCTCTGGGCACAAGTCGTGGTGCGGCTCCTCATCCGTCGACGTCACATGGTGGTATGATGCCATCACTGCCCGCCGCATTGCAGCCACATCATCGGAATTGTTCCGTAGGGCCCAGCCATAATAATCTGTCAACTTGTCGATGAGGGCCTTTGTCAGCCTGCCCTTCCCTCCCAAAGCCTTGTCACTTTTCTGCACAAGGTTGCGAAGTGCAGTCCCCATCCTCTTCTGAACGTGGTTCAGGCATTCCTCTTTTGAAATGGGGACCAGTCCATAAACATTTTCTTGTACAAGGGCAGAGAAGGTGGCACTATCTCCATCAGACACGAGCGTTGTGTAACGGAGGTTGTGCTTCGACAGTGAGCGTGAAAAGAGGATGATAGCTGCCTCAACCTCCATTCTCCCTGACTTAGAGTCGGTGTTTTTCTGGCACACATGATTCTCCAGCCAGCATGCATAGTCTGCGTCTCCAGGCTTTGGCCCTACTTGGCAACCAAGGCACTGATTAGACAGAACAACGGCGTCCAAGATAAGGCCCGTATGGTATTCGATAATTGCCCCGACTCCAATATGGGATGTGTGCCCACGCTTGTGCCATGTTCCATCATAACAAACTGTTATATCCCTGGTGAAATATTGATCCATTTCTTTGTAAGTGGCTTTTACAGCAGAAGCAGATTCTGCATAGAAATTTTCTATGCATTGTGTCTGCGGTTCCCTGAATTTCTTCAGGTGCTTCTGAAAGGTCTTGTGATGGAGGCCACGATGGGACACGTTCATCGCTGCCCAAAAGTCGTTGAGAGCTGTTTGTCCCTTGCCTATTTGTTTTGTTGCCATAATGGCTCTTACATTCACATCAAAGGCCTTTGTGTCATCCTGACGAGATGAACTCTATGAACTTGAAACTACTCCACAATGCAAGCATACTAGCTCAAGCTTTGCAGCAAGTCCAAGTTGGGTGCCTCGTCGTACCTTCATCCCAATCGCGGTGCACCGGTGGCACGGGGTCCGAGATAGCAGGTTGTCTAGGGCATCCATTTGCACAAGGAAAAATTTTTCGCCTTCACTTGTAGCGGTGGCAGCTTCATGATCGCGCTCCATTGCCTGAAATTTCCGCTCCGTCGCTGGCATAGCGCCAAGTTCTCTTTGCACAGCAGCGCATTGTTGATCCGCCGCCTCTTTTTCCTCGCACGTCAGGAAACTTGTTCGCAAATGCACAGTTGACGACGCGATCGCACTCGAGGCCAATGAAAGAGAAGATGCGGAAGCCACTGTCGATGAGCACGAGACACCAGGCGCACTTGTAACGACAAATTCTTGCACCGGCGGAGCAGGAGTCCTGTTGCTAGGTGCGTCGATGTGACCACTCTCTTGCGTAGATGAAGCAGAAGCTGCCCCACAGGTACGGTCGGCGCGATCACCGTCGGCGCACGTGCGAGCGGAGAGCCTCGCCGCGCGGACAAGCTTCATAGCTCGCTTCCTTGCACTGAACGATTGTAGCATCTTCTTTTTCGTTGGGCGCATCGTGAGCGAACACAACAACGGTCTCATACAGACGGTTGAAAATCGTCTCGTAAAGACGGTTGAAAATCGTTTCGGAGACAGTTGAAACGTGGAGAGTATGCGAACGGCTGCAACGATACACGGA